TGCATGGAGCTTTTGCTTTACCTACTAAACCATCTTTATCTCAACCCATGAGTTTTCTCACTTTTACCCTTCCAATTCTCTCCCCCATCCCACCAGGGTGGAGTGAGCGAGCACTGTGTGGGGCTGAGCTGCCTACCTGGACTAAACCACCCTGTTTCCTTTCCAGGTTAATTAATCCTGTTCAGTAGTGTTCCTGAGAGCAGCTACCCTTCCACACTAGAGATTTCTAAAGACTTCAAAGTTATTACATGATGGAATTCAGTCATGAGTCTAATTAGTATGTAATAAACTTCTCCTGTGGTTCCTGAACTTGTATGTATGAGATGTTTCAGTCCTTCTTTACAACAGAGCATCTGAAGTTTCTCCCATTATTGTTCTCTGGTTAGAAACACATTTGGGTAAATGCATGAAGACAGCAGTGAACAAAACAAAGTCATCTATTTTCCTGTGTGTTAAGTGTGCTTCTCTAAAGCAAAAGAACAACAATGTTCATAAGAACAAGGCCTGTTAAAAGTCTCCTACAGGGAACCCAGAGGATTTCTTAAAAGCTCCTTCTGCAGAAATTAGTAATGCCAATGTCCTTATAATATCAGATTCAGAACCATGAGGCCAAGGGTTCCCAAGCACCGATTGCTTAGAGATTCATTACCAGCCAGGACACTTTGCAGTATATGGATTAGCATCTTCCAATGCTGTGCCAATGCATAGTGTGCTCTAACAAGGGAGAGTATTTTCAAAGTTTGAAGAATCCTAACTAAATTTAGGTAGTGTAACTACCATGCACTGCCTAGAAAAAAAAAACGATTGAGTTCAGTTTGCAAGAAAAGGATGCGAGATCATCTTTTATTAGGATGAAAAGACTATAAATCAGAGGAAATAAAGTGCTATCAAGTAAATCACTTTGAAGTAATAGAGCTCTTTTCAAAGACTTTACAAAAAAACTCCAAAGATTTGCTCTTTAAAAAAAAAGTTTCAATGACTTATAGCCTAAATTTGGTCCTTCTAATGCAATTAATTTCATAAACTAATTGGAGTCCTGCTATATTGACTACTGTACTAAAATTTTATTCTGGTTTCACCTTTATTCCTTATTATATCTGTATCTCCCAGATGTACCCCTTCATTTACGAGACAATATTTATATTTCAATTTCCTGACACGCAAACTAGGAATAAGCTTTCAAAAGCTGACTTTCTACATATGGAATTACCTCTTGACCTTTAAAAGTATTATTTGCTCTAATAATTTAGCTCAACATTTTTCAACTCTTTCTTGAGAGCTGGTTGCAAACATTTTTTACACATTTAGCTATTAAAAAGCCCAGTCAAATAAATCAAATACACATTCCACACTTGCTGTGTACTATAAGCAATCACTCCCTATCCTTGAAATCCCTATTCATTGTTCTCTTCAGAGGCACATATTTTCTTCTACATTCTAGAAACAAACAGACAGCTTCTGAAAATTGTTCTTTGGAGTTCAGACCTTACAAGCCAAGTGGTTTTGTACTTTTTTTTTTTTTTTCTGCTGACAATCACAATAAATTAAAACTCTGGACTATTTACATGTTTTTTTACTAGTTTTCTAAGCATGAGGAGACACTTATTTGTGACACATGCCAGGGGGGTGTAAGGGTGGGTGAAAAGCAAGTCAAGTGCTTTTGTTTGTTGTTTTTTTTTTTTTAAACCTAATCATCAGTTCATGAAACACAGAAAGGTTTCATAAAAAGAAGGTATCATAAAAAGTCTCTGTCCCTTACAAAGCAGTATTTTCTGCAGTTCTAGGCAATCTAAATAAGAACAGTGTGGCAACAGACATTTTTGCAGTACTATAAAATAATCAGAAAATAATTAGGAATTTAGTCTAGAGACATAAAACCAGCTTAGGAGTACATGCAATTACTGATAAAGAGAAGCTGGAAGAAGCAGCAACTGAGGAGATGTGTTGTACAGAGGAACAGAAGAAGGTTCTTAGAGGTGGATACCGATTCAGCACTAGGGCTAGGAACAAATAAGTAGAAGTAATGATAGGAAACAGCAAAAACTAGAAATGGTCAAGACAAGATTATATTCTTGGGGTGTGTTGATCAGAACATGATAGAATTTGTCTTTTTAATGTGGCAGTGTCTTGTCAGGAAATGTAAAAACACTGTTTTACCCTCAGTGTAGGTTAATTTTACAGCGCTAACTGCAGATCTACAGCACTGTTAACAACTGGGTAGAACTCTCAGCAATGCAAAGATAATGACTTACTCCCAGCCCAGACAACACAGGACTGGTGTCAGGGTTTAGTAAAAGAAAAAAAAAATTTTTTTTAATGTTGACATAAGGTTTAACACATGACATGGATGAATTATGAGTCTTAAGAGAATGAGTGAATTCAATAACTTGTGTTCCCACTTAACTGTAGTGCTTCATTTACATATGTGGAATTTCCAGAAGTCAAAGGAGCGTAATTTAGCTTGTTATTAGATCAGATAAAGTTTTAGAAAAGTTGATTAAAAGATTGTATTCCTGAGGTTAGAAAAAGCAGACAACCTTTTATCTGATGATCTGATTAATTGTATCAACACTTCCTATAAGCCTTGTATCTGCTACTAAATCAAGAATTTAAATTGTTTTAAACTTTACCTACAGTGTTTTTACACAGTTTCCCTGAAAGAAAGAGAAAGTATCAGTACCATTACAGCTGACTATTCAAATCCAAGAACGGTGTCTTACAAATTATATATACAAACCCTGATCTGTCGCCCACCCCTACTCCCTGAAATCCTTCCTCAGCCTATTAAAAAGTCTATGCTCAGCATAGCGCACTGTCTTCCAAATTCCAGAGTCGAAAATGAGAGGGCATTGGTGGAGTCTAAGAATATCTAAGTAGTTTTACAGCACTTTACTTCATGCAAAATTAATCATATGTGCTAAATTCCACTCTTTAGGCTTAGAAAGACAGTTTGGAAACATCCACAGCAGTCAAATGTTGCCTATACCTAGATAGTTCAGTTAGGTTTGAAACAAGCAGTTAGTCTTATATTGACACTGAAAAGTGTCCGTATTACACTGTTATGAATAATGAGTCCATTTTCAAGTTTGTGCAAGCACGTACAACTATTTTCCACTTTCCCAGCCAAACACTCCTAAAATTTACCACATCATTTGAACTGGGCAGTGAGGGGGAAGTAATTTCTGCAGCACAAAAGCATATCTGACATGCAAGAGCTGCTCAGTATAATTCTATTACCCACCAAATCCTCCAAGCACAGTTTCTTCTAAGGTAAGAATGAGGGAAGAAAATAATTTAATGTTATAACCTACCAAATAGAAAGGCTGAGAACGTCAACTACAGGATGGCTAATACAATGGTATAATCACCAGACAGTGCTAAAAGCAGAGGAGTGTAAGAGGCACTATTTCCTTTAACTTAAGGCTTCCAGGCCTCATCTCAAAGAAATGACTTATCTAGGTGATCTAATTCTGAAAAGCAAGATTGTTGGTAGGCTAAATATGTAATAAAACTAAGAGCTGCTACGTAAAATAGATAACCTTAGGAAAGACAGAAGAAAACCAGATGTTATCAAGTGTGCAAGTGTAATGGTATCCCTGCAAAATTGAATACACAACATGGCACATGATCTTAAAGCACAGTACAGCAAGGCTGAAGACTCACCCATGTTACCAGGTGTTTCTTTAACGTGCCACAATTTTAAGAATCTTAGAAGTATTACAAACTTGGGTCAACTTACAAAGTAATGTAGACAAAAAAATTATTCAATTTGAATGTTTGTATCCACTTCTTTAAACCTCATCTAACACCAAATGCTGACTTCAAGTAACAGGAAAGCTAATAGAGGGAAAAAACAATTGTAGTTCAGAAAGCAAAAAGAAGCCAGCTGAAAGGAAACCAGGCATTTGGAAATCTAGGTTTCAATTGCTTGTCCACTTACAGAAGCACAATTATGTATATAAAAAAACCCAAACCTCTCCTTTTTTCCAAGTGATTAACAAAGATATACTGATATATTCCAGCTTTTCCAAGCAGTTTGCCTGAATCTGAACTGGGACAGTCTTTGACAATCCATTACATTAATTTTTTTTTTGGTGACACAAATGTCATTCTGATGTAAACAACCTCACTGCAGCTTCGCAATTTTTGCCACAGATAGAATCAAAGCAACAGTCATTGCGTAATCTTTTTAAAATGTGTTACTAAGTAGAAAATTAGGTCCCTGTCACTTGAAATAATTAACTTGAAATTGTGGATCCTACATTTGGAATTGTGCTGGTTTTGGCTGGGGTAGAGTTAATTTTCTTCATAGAAGCTAGTATGGGGCTATGTTTTGGATTTGTGCTGAAAACAGTGTTGATAACACAGGGATGTTTTTGTTACTGCTGAGCAGCACCTACACAGAGTCAAGGCCTTTTCTGCTTCTCACCCCACCCCACCAGCAAGGAGGCTTGGGGTGCACAAGAAGTTTGGAGGGTACGTAGCCAGGACAGCTGACCCCAGCTGACAGAAGGGATATGCCAGACCATATGACGTCATGCTCAGCACAGAAAGCTGGGGAAAGAAGGGGTGGGGTGAGGGTGGGCATTTGGAGTTATGGTGTTTGTCTTCCCAAGTAACTGTTAGACATGATGGAGCCCTGCTTTCCTGGAGATGGCTGAACCCCTGCCTGCCGATGGGAAGTGGTGAATGAATTCCTTGCTTTGCTTTGCTTGCATGCACAGCTTTTGCTTTGCCTGTTAAACTGTCTTTACCTCAACCCACAAGTTTTCTCACTTTTACTCTTCTGATTCTCTCCGCCATCCCACTGTGAGGGGAGTGAGCGAGTGGTTGTGTGGTGCTTAGTTGCTGGCTGGGGGTAAACCACGACAGGAATAAAGAAGCATTTTCCCCATTTCATTAACTCTTTGAAATATGATAAACTTAAACCTTCTAAAATTAACATGATGAGTTCCCCCAAAATTTCTAACCAGCACCTTTAAAAGACATTCACTGCCTACCTGAACCATCACTGGAGACTGAACTTGCGTTAATTCCAGAAAGGCCAAATAAGGGACATTCTCGATCAGTGTTTACATGACCCCACTTGTGGCATTTAATACATCTCACATTCCGCACCTAAAAGGGAAAAAAAAAAAAAAAAAAGACATAATTTAATTAACAATACAGCTTAACATTTACAGAAATATCTATGCTACTAGGCGTAAGAGAAGCTTTTAAACTCACTGAAAAACAGATGATAAAATTAAGAGAGTCCATGTCAATGTTCTGCAGTTAGATAGTATTTGAAATATACCCAAGACATCCACAGAGTGAAATTTATGTAACTTGCCTGGATACCAAATGGCTGATCTCTGATATTCATATCATCCTTAGCATACCTGTTACACAAACACAAAAGAAAGCAAATACTCAATTCACTATTTTTTTAAAGCCATCACATACAAAACTACCTTTTATTGTTAAGTGCACATCCGTTTCAGAGATATACTTCTGGTAAATGTTAGTTTTAACATGCTTTCAAATATGGATGTAAAGTTCAAACAAAAACTAAGTTGATCAAGGAAATAGTTCCAGGTTTACAGGTTCTACTAATTAACTGCCAGGACATGACAGGATTACACAAGTGACCTGCTCAAATATAAGAGTATAAAAAAAAAAGATACGAATAGTATAAAAGTTAAATAAGAAGAAAAAAAAGTTTTTATTCAGATAGAACACAGACATCTTACTTTTCTCGAGGGGCGACTTTTTGCCATTCAAATTTGTATTCAGTCTCTCCTTCTTGCTATAAAACAGAAAACATGGTAAGTTTGAAAAATTTTTTTTTTAATACATTTTAAGTAAATAGGAAGAAAACAAAGAAATAATGCAATGAAATACCTCTTTAGCTTCCTCTTTGAATTTTCAGAAATCATGGAAAGAAAAGACATGATACATTAATTACGCATGTAAAATGCAGCTAGTGTCTAAGCTGGAGACAAAACATGTTATGGTTTATACTAATACAATACTGCAAATACTCAAAAAGTAACTTTATTTAAATACAGTGCACTTATAAATAATTGGCCTCTACTATATGGTTACAAATCCTGTAAAACCAGAATCATCTTTCAAAACTATATTGATTTGATATACAAGTACAAAAACCTTTAAACTCTTCTCGCAAAAGTAGCAACAATACTTAATTTAAAAATCTTCAAAAAAAGGATTTTTAAGCAAAAAATCACTACTTTAAAATTGCATTTCCTCTATTAAGGGATTACTTTAAGAGCTTTTAAAGGTAAATAACTGCAAAATTTGCTCTATAAGAACGAGCCCACCCAAGCATTTCCAAGGGTTTTCATGCAAATGGGAAAGATGCATTTGAAGGGGAATGTGTTTTCTTTTAAAGGGAATACATTTTCTTAGTTCTGCACTTATATTCAGATTTTGCTAAAATTAAGTGACTGATATGAGTATCCACCAGGTACTTAGTAACTTCTGTTTATGAATCTACTAAATACAGTCACAGTCAGACCCACCAGAGTCAGGTCAGCCAGCAGTTTTGACCACAGAATCTCAGTATTTATTATTTATTTAACTTCCACTAATTAACTTCTTGCTTTGGTATCTCCTACACTTGACATGCATCAAGCTGAATTATGGGCAGAACTTTTAAGCAAAGGTGACCCTGCTATTTCTAAAAAGGAGAGTAGGCCAAAATACAGGTTTGTGTTGTCTGAGTCATTGCCTTGGTAAGGTCTAGTCCCCCCCATCCAATGGCTTTATAATTGGCTAAAGAAACACCTTTGGTCAAGGACAGAATTTCTGCTGTTGCCAGGAAAGATATTATATCTGTTTCTAACCCTTCATGTTGAACTGTTGCTTAAAAAAACCCCCAACCATTCTCAGTCTGAAAGAAATTAAAGTATTGTGAGATCAAAATTATTACATACTATGTATGCCTGCATAGTCCTACAGGAAGAACTAAAAATCATACCTTCTAGCATTACCTCACTATAAGCACACTATTTTAAAATAAAAGACATTGTGCTTTTTTCTTCAGAATGTTTTTAGCTTTGCAGTACTGTCTGCTCACGATCAGGAAACTGCAGTACCTTTCTTTGCTCCAGGTGGGGCCTCATACATGAAATTAAGACCATTCTTCACACGCTCATCACCCATAAGCAATCTAAATAAAAAGGACAGAGTTTGGGGTGACAAAACAACCACATTGGTATTACTTAATAATACTAATAAAAAAAAGAAATGTGCGGCAGGAAATTGTTACAACAACTGGCAATTTTTCATTTGTTAATTTGAGTAACAAAAGCTGAACATCAAAAAACCCGAGAGAGTAGTCAAAACTTTTGCATGCTCTGTTGTGTACCAAAAATCACACATTTCAATCACAACTGAAACGTAACTCTGTGTCTACAGAATTATGAAAGCCAGATTTCTGTGTGACCCAAACATATCGTTATACAAGGTTACCTGCTGTTCTGTGCAATGCAACGTATTTTGAAATGAATTAGAAGACACGCACAAGCCACTTTAAAGAAGTTCTTGTGACCTCTGCTTAATCAAACACTAATTTATGAGTCGACATCCTCTCCTACTACTGTGGTCAGTGGGAGACAGTATTTCAAATAATTCACAATGATATGTCATTCACTGCCATGAAAACAAGAGACGGTAGGAAGAAGTGTGTGATCTTATGCCAAGTCTCACCTATTATCATAGGATTCCTGTTCTTTCAGATACTGTTGCATTAATTCTTCTTGTTTCTTCTTATCATATGATATTTTCTGTTCCGCCATCCATACCTAGTTAAAACAAGTAACTTCCTGCTTTAAACAAGTACAAAAACCACTGCAAAATGTATTCACGTATAAATACTTAACTGGTTTACTCTAATGAAAATACTTGAGAAAATTCCCATCCTAATCACATAAAATATATTATTTTCATCCAGCATTTCAACAGACAAACCTCACACAAGCAGTAACTTTGATAAGCTACAACTCCAACAGCATTTAAGAACTGAAGAGATATGAGAAAGTTTAGTAATTCAAAGGGAAAAGTAGGCTCAGAAAACACCCTGGGTGTCCCACTGCCTTCCCCATAGTGACGCCTCCTCACCTAAGTCTCACCAGACCCCAAACCCCAGGTTCTCTCGGGAGCTCCTGGAACAGTACAGTTCTGGGGAAGAGACCTGGAACCAGGTCAAGGCAGGTGTGAAATATTAGGAAAACACGAGCACATCGTGACAGGTGGGAGTTTTCTTGGACGGTGTACGGTGCCTATTATTTATCCAGAGAAACAGGTGTTGAAAAGCTGGAGCCGGGAAAAGGCGATAGTTATACGCACCTGTGAGCCAGTAAAGCCGAAGCTTCAAGCATTTCCCAACTTTTCTTCCTGCCTCTTCCCTCCCCCAACCCGGTCCCACCACAGGAAGGCCGACATGCCCTACCCGTGCCGTTGCGGTGCCAGGACCCTGTCATCCCCACCTCCCACTCCCCGGGACGCCGCCCGGCCCCGGCCCAGCCTCCCGGCCTCCCCCGGTGCGCAGCGGACGCGGCCGGCCGGCTGAGGGGCCGCGGCGCCTCACCTCAGACCAGCCGCCCGGCAAGGGCCACAACGACTCCCGCCGCCGGCCCGGCCCCCCTCACCTTTTTGATGTTGGACTTGGAGGCGGGGTGAAAATCCTTCTTGCACATGAAGTTGGCGAACGACTTCCCCATGGCGGCGGCGG